TAGAAAAATGTAATATGAATAAATAAGCTATGTTAGTTTAAAGTTCACGTAATGTAAGTTTGATTTTTTTTTTAATCAGAAAAAAAATAAAAATAAAAATAAAAAATATATAAATAAATAAGCTACATTAGTTTAAAGTTCACGTAATGTAAGTTAGATTTTTTTTTAAATCAGAAAAATAGAAAAATGTAACATGAATAAATAAGCTATGTTAGTTTAAAGTTCACGTAATGTAAGTTTGATTTTTTTTTAAATCAGAAAAATATAAAAAATTTGAAAAATGTCATATAAATAAATAAGCTAAGCTAGTTTAAAGTTCACGTAATGTAAGTTTGATGTTTTTAAAAATCAGAAAAATATAAAAAAATCAGAAAAATGAAATATAAATAAATAAGCTAAGTTAGTTTAAAGTTCACGTAATGTAAGTTAGATTTTTTTTTTTATCAGAAAAATATAAAAAATATATATAAATTATATATAAATAAATTAGCTAAGTTAGTTTGAAGTTCACATAGTGAAGTTCACACCTTCTGGATGCTTTCGTCCACGAGGCCGCCGAGGACGTAAACTTTGTCAGGATCCACCGTCTCCAAGGCTGAAACAGCACATTTACTGCACATTATTCCTCTCAAAACGGACCATTTTCTCTCTGTTCTGCACATACAGTATTTGCCAGGTTTCTGGCGTAATGTGGTCTGACGGCGCCCTCTGGTGGCCAAAAGTGGTACATCCGGGGAAAAAGGAGGCCGGAAAGTGTTTGAGATTAAAAAAAGCAAACCTTCTTCGGCGTCTGGAGTGAGGTAGACCACCGTTTCTGGGGGGAACAGGTCTAAGCAGCTTTCCTCTGTTATTTCCATCTAAAAGGAAACAGATATTTAAAAAATTAATTCGGTTATCAAAGTTCTCACATTGGTATCAGTCATAAAGGAGGTTTAAGAGACTGGAGGTTTCCCTGTAATGAGAAATAAACCGACTCTGTCTAAACCTACGAGAAGCCAGATCAATTTTTCTATAAAAAAAAAAGTTAAAAGAGAAAGGAAACTGAACAAATGGGCTCATAAATGATCTCAAAAACACCAAACATGTAAAAAATCTGTCGTGTTACTGTAAATTGGTTTGGTCAGTTTTTAAAAATTCCATTAGTTTGCTCCAGATTTAATCTAAAATCTTATTTGATATGATGGCTGATCTTTTCTAAACATTATTCATTTTAATGTATTAAGTTGTATGTGTTTAAACTCACTAATTTATAAAACGCGTGTTTTCATTTAGTATTAAAACATGTTACAATGTCGAAGTGGACGACTTATTTAAAATCTTAAAAAGCCAAATTAACTATCGGTATGTGCAGTCACATGGTTGGAAAGTTGTTATTTTCCGTTGTCTTAGGGTTTGGAATATTGTTTCCTTCCTTAAAGGTTTAAACACAAACATAAAGGAAAATTCATGGATTGTCATTTGACCTGAACTAGCTTTAATTTAATAATAATAATTAGCCAATTCAATGGACATGCAGGGAAATTTAACTGCATGCTGGAGAATAAAGTTTTGTCCACTACGAAACCACAACAGACTACTTAAAGCTGCATACAATTATCAAAAATAGGATATATCTATTAAAGCCTTCTATGTGATTAATGAAAGCTCTTTCAGATTCATGATAATGAAGGAAAAGGCCATTTTGCTGTTGTTTTTTTAAGAAGAAGAAGAAGAAGAAGAAGAAGAAGAAGAAGACTATTGATCTCACCAATGGAGAAATTCCGTACAGCCCGTACTAAGATAAAACAAACAAAAACACATAGACACACCAGTTCGGGAAGAGCCACATAGTAGGGCGCTGCGTTTTTTCTTCGGAACAGACTATGCTGGGATAAATGTTTGCCAGGAAGAGGGAAATAAAAAAGGATCTGTCTGGTCTTAGCTGTTTCAGAAAGCGTCAGGAGGGAGCTGGAGGGAGTTCGGTCACCGTGTAGTTGAGGAAGCCGTCGTTCATGCGCACGCACTCCCTGTGCAGGCGGCCGCCGGCCCGCAGCTCGGTCAGGAAAAGGTGAAATGGCCGCCTGGACTTCCTGTTGGAGCCGTAGAGACGCCTCAACTGGGCCGCCAGACGACTGATCTCCTGAGAACAGCACACAGAAACAGTTAGAGTTCGGTTAAATCTGTTAGAATTTGGCTATCATTACCAAACAGTTAGAATTTGGCTATCATTATCAAACAGTTAGAATTTGGTTAAATCTGTTAGAATTTGGCTATCATTATCAAACAG